TAAACAAAGTTACTGTTTCCATCTACAACTTAAAAAAAAGAAAAAAGAAAAAAATGGGTCACCAACCCTCAATGTACCATGGGTATTGTTGGGATATTTTACATTTAGAAAATTCTGAGTGGTTAAAATGGGCCCAGTTTGCTGGGTGTGTTAGTGTACTCCTGTAATCCCAGTGACTCAGGAGGCTGAAGCAGGAGGATAGAAAATTTGAGACCTGCCTTAGCTTTAGCAAGGCCCTAAGGACTTAGCAAGACCCTGTCTCAAAATAAAACAAACAAAAAAGGGGTAAAAAAGGGGTTAGACATGTGGTTGAGTGGTTAAGTGCCCCTGGGTTCAATAACCAGTACCAAAAAAAAAAAAAAAAAAAGGACAGGGCCCAGCTTATCCCATGTGGAGTTCCCTGCTTCCTCCTCTGCAATCCCATACTCTTCCATCTATAGGAGTAGTTCAAGGAGTAAGGAAATGAGGGGTAATAGACTGTGGATACAGCAGGCAGATCCAAGGCATTTCATTGAGAAAGCGTTAGAACAGAGAGCAGGAATGCAAGAATCATAGAATTATTTGTAAGAACGCCAGAATGTTCATGACACGTGAGGGGTACATGACCTCAAGAGATAGACCAAGGATTCTGGATGAAGGGAGACGGACCAAGCACATAAGGGCAGAGCTGAGATTTAAAGTAGAGGCAGGAGGAACACACCCAGATATAATGTGGGGACACATGGAGGTCAAAGTGTCATCAAGAAGGTTGAAGTGATAAGAAAAATGTCAGGCAATACCCTAAACAAAACTTTAAAGGTGCCGGCTTCCCATGGTACCCCTTCTGCTAGAGTTATCACACTTACCCTGACAATGGCAGCCCGGGCACACTGCCTCACAAATCCATGGTGCTTCTTCCTGCTCCAGCCTGAGGATCACATCTGGTTTGGTGCCTTCGTAACCTGTTCCAGGAAGACAACCCAGGCTTTGGGCTGAGCTCCTTGGTCTTCAGAGTCCCTCAAGCAGCATTGAATGCTGCACAACAAATGCTCTTGGGAGGGAACTGTATACTCATCTAGAATCAATGGAATTAGTAATCCAGGATGATCAAAACTCAGGCCAAACCCACTGAGGCAACACAGCACAAGGATTAGAAATGCATTCTGTAGCCAAGCTGCTGGGATCAAATTCTGGCTCCACTGTGTTCCTGGGGGGTGACTCTGGGCAAATCAGTGCACTTCTCTGTGCCTCGGTTTCCATTTATGCAAAATAATGCTACTTAAAAGTACCTACACCTCATAAAGTTTTTTAAAAAGGTTTATTTACCATCTTTTCTTGCTCTCTGACTTTAGGCTACAGTGTGATGGATGGGTATAGCTAACATTTTTTAAAAATCCAACATTCTGGCTTTCAATGCCACTGTACTATGTAGATAAAGAAATACTGTGGAAAAGTTAAAATATAATGTTTAAGAAGCTGACTAAATCTATATGCTTTTAAAATGCTAGTATTTGGGTATTTTCTGTAGGGATAGTTCCACTGAAGTTATTTTCAGAACTGTCCTCTGGTATTGACTACTAGAAGGTCAAGAAGCACTTCTACTGTAGATACAAAATGGTATCCTGCCAGGTTCTGGTGGCACATGCCTATAATTCCAGCAACTCAGGAGGCTGAGGCAGGAGGTCAGCCTTGGTAACTGAGCAAGTCATGTATACTCTGAATTGTATAATGAAGCTGTTCTTACCCACTGAGACCAGGTTACTGTAGGTCTCCAGCATTACATCCCGATACAGGGCCCTCTGAGCAGGATTCAGCCGGCGCCACTCCTCTTGGGTAAAGCCCACAACCACATCTTTGAATGACACAGGTCTCTGCTGAAGCTGAAATGACAGTAAGTTATGTGGAAAACTGTTGGTGGCGGTGGATGGTATTGACTTATACTTCTCACAGGTCACAGCTTATCAAGGCCATCTACCTAGGATGTCATTTATATTCCTACCTTTGTGCTATATTTGGTGGCAAAGATAAAAATCATGTTGGAAGCCACCCGCCCATTGTCATTCATACTTTGAGTCAACAACCCTCATGTGTGGCCTAGTGCTGGCTAGTGGGAACACAGTGATGGATGATTCCTGACCTCATGGGGCTACTGTCTGGCATAGGGAGAACAATCTGTAGAATTATCAGCATGGAAGTGTCATGACAGCTGTAATGGCAGGACACCTATGCTACAGCATGCAGAGAAGGAACTTTTCCGGGTCTGATTAGGCTTCAGAGCTCAGGGCTGTGTGGACTTGAGTCTTCTCTACAGGATGATGAAGAGCACCCTTTGCAGGGAGCTGTGTGAACAAAGGCACGGAGGCAAAACAGTGATTTTAAAGGTGGCAAGTTACTCAGAGATATAGGCAAAGTACACAAAGGCCTTTGAGTGATGAGATGATGGATAAATGTGTGCACAAAGCATATCTGGGAGGCCATGGATGAGTGACATGGTGTGATATAACTCTAAGCAGACTGGAGAGTTAAGGTGCATATTATATTCCTAGAGTAACCACTAGAATCATAATGCAAACAGGTATAGCTGAAATAAAGTGGAGTTCTAAAAGATGTTTAATGAGTCTATACAAACACACACAAAAAAAAAAAGAAAAAAGAGAGAGAGGAAGAAGAATTAGAAAAAGAGGAGGAGGAAGGGAAATAGAAATAGAAGATGTACAACCCTATAATCCCAGTGACTCAGGAAGCTGAGGCAGGATAATCGCAAATTCAAAGCCAGCATCAGCAATTTAGCCAGACCATGTCTCAAAAAATAAAATGGGGGTGGGTTGGGGTTGTAGCTCAGTGGTGGAGCACTTGCCTAACATGCATGAGGCACTGAGTTTGATCCCCAGCACCACATAAAAATAAAACAAATGAAATAAAGGTATTTTAAAAAAGAGTATTTAAAAAAACTAAAATGGACTGGGAATGTGGTTCAATGGCTAAGCACCCCTAGGTTCAATCCCAAGTATCACAAAAAAAAAAAGTAGGTAAGAAGATTATGTTCTGGGGTACTACTGCATTAGCAGGGTAACTATAGTTAATAAAAATGTACAGTATAGTCAAAACAGCTAGAAGAAGGTTTTTGAACACTTTAACCACCAAAAAATGATAAACATATGAGGCAATGTGTACTTTGCTCTTCCTGAGTCAACTTTGTTTTAATAGAGTTGGTCTCTTGTTGCTCATTTTAGGTGGACATCTAACATTATGTATGTGGATTACAAATGACAGGGATTTAGAACTTCCTATGACTCTGACAACAATAGCAACACTGTCATATCATTGGGGAGCAAAGGACTCCAGAGTTTTTGCATGGGAAACACTAATGAACCTCTACATTAAACTTATTTATGCATTTATTATTGGTAAGAACTCTACCATATTACTGCTTCTCATACCTTGGGTGCAAGGATCACCCAGAGCCATTTAAAAACAGATTCCCAGGATCACCCACAGAAAACCCTCTCCAGGAAGTCTGGGGTGAGGCCTGCCATTCTGCATTTCTAACAGCCTTCCAAGGAGATACACCCTGGCCACTCTATAAGCAGCAGTATTGTTCTGCCTCAACCTCTCAGGAAAATGTCTTCATAAAGAAGTACCTTGAAAAGCTAGCTTTCCCCTAGAAATATACATGTGCTTTTTCCTTAGGAGCAATGCAAACCAAGGGCTAATTTGTCTTTGCCTTTTTGTTGAACTCCAAGGAAGATCACAGTTACTGACCTCTTCTTGGATTCTTTACTTTGTACATCTGTATTCCAAACAAGAAATGTTCCTTGCATTGGTGCTCATAATATCAAACTTGAAAACTACCTGAATGTCCATTAAACGGGAGACTAGCTAAGTCAGTCATACCCCATGTATTCTCTATGAAGCATTATATACTTGGTTAAAAAAAAGTTGTTCTAAGTATTAATACTATGGGTACAGCAGTATGTTTAAGTGTCTTTCCATCATGTTTACGTGTAGAAAGGAGGCTGTGGTATTTCACCCAAATCCTCCTGAAAGACTGGATGCTGCAGGCTCGAAACCTTTCTGAGATTTATCTTTGGCCAGTGGGAACTTCCTACCACAGTTCAGGTATATATCCCAGCTCTATAGTTTCTTTTTGTTTGTTTGGTAGTACTGGGGATTGAACCCAGGACCTTGAGCATGTCAGACAAGTGCTCTACTACCGAACTACATCCCCAGACCTTTCTTTTTTATTTTATTTTATTTTTTAATTTTTTAGACAGGGTCTTGCTCAGTTGCAGGGGCTGGCCTCAAACTCCCACCTCTACTGGTACTACAGGTGTACTACCATGCCCAGCTACCACCATGTTGTAAGATCAGCTCAGGCCTCTGTTTAGAACTCCCTCTGCCTGATCCTGCTTTCTTCACTGCCTCAGGGGAATTCCAAGATCCCCCTCAATAAACCCTCTGTGTTAAAATATCCATCTCCAAATCTGTTTTCCTGAGAATCATCCCATGACAAAGTGTCTATGCTTATAATGGGTACATTGTTTTCTATAACACTTTCCCCAAGAAGGGAAATTTGGCCACTTATTGTCACACTCACCTGGTACTCAATCATTTTCTGCTGTTCTTGGAAAAAGAGTGGAGACCTGTGAAGGTAGAGACGGGGAGGAAGAGGATGGAGGAAGAACAGAAAACAGCTGTGAGGATGGGATCTGTCTTGGAACTTGCAAATTCCCTATGTAAATCTTCTGTGTTTTAAATCACTGTGGTAAAAAAATAAAATGGCTACCATTCAAGTCAGAATGTGAACACATAAAACAGACCTTTTAAGGAGGAAAAGCTTCTACTAAAAAATAAGTAGAAGTTTTAAAAAAAAAAAAACCTTAAAAATTAAATAATTAGATCTAAATGTATTCTGAACAAGGGATAACTTATAAAAATATTAAAAAGAACTCTGCCATGTGACCAGCGTGAGCTTCATAAAAGAAGGTTCGATGCATAAGTAATTGCTAGTGAGTTTTAAATTAAAGAGTCAGACTCTCATTACCTTTAACACAGCTCGGCTTCTCCTAGCTCCCGCCACCAGCCACCTAATTCGGTGGTGAGGTTTACAGAAGAGACTAGCCAGAGGGGGAGCTCATGCCAGGGAGTGAGCTTTTATTGGGGAACTAAAAATTCAAGTGAAAATCCCATCCAATGAAGGTTAAGGGGGGCAGCATCCCAAGGTCAGGGCAGGCCATTGGGTCTTCAGGTCAGTCCAGGCACACCTCTGCACGGACAAGTCCTCGGACCTGGGAAAGGTGTGGGGTGGCTTTAACATGTCTAAGCACCTCTCACCCAGCCAGGGAGGTAACTCAAATCACGTGCGACAATGGCCTCCCACAAAGAACTCAGAGAAAAACAAACTAACTGTAAACAGTAAAATATACTCAAAATATGGTCCTAAATAATTAATGGAAGCTACACCTTGTTATTCATTTAGTAGATTATTAAATGTGGTCGTAAAAATAATTTTTAAGGGGCTGGGGTTGTGGCTCAGTGTTAGAGCACTTGCCTAGTATGAGTGAGGCACTAGGTTTAATCCTCAGCACCACATAAAAATAAAAAATAAAGGTTATTTTGTCCACCTACAACTAAAAATCAAAAATTTTTTT